CTATTGGCCATCAATACAAGAAGGGAGATTAATTTGTTAGTGGATGAATTCTATCGGGTCATCAGAAAAGTTTGTGTAAAGCATCCATTGCCCTCTCGTTGCCATTGTTTTCTATCAGTATTGACACATTCAATGTTTCCATTAAATATTAACCAGACATAATTTGGCAAAGCCCTTGACTTTCAGACTATTTACTACAATGATGGTAGTTGCATTGTTAAAAGTTATCAGACAAGAATATTATTTGATGTACACTAGTAATGCATTTTAGGGTTCGAAAAAAAAAAAAAGATTTTTAAATGTATTTCTCTTCCTCAAACTTTTTTTGTAGAATTGTTTTTTTTTATTAATAAACTTTTCTCAAAAAAAACCCTGAAGTTGATTTTACTTGTACTTGCCATTAAGTTTTTTTTATATAAAACTAGTTGAGGCAACCACAATGTCAGTGAACCCCTCCATACATTATGACGTTTCAGTGAACCCCTCCATGCATTATGACGTGTCAGTGAACCCCTCCATGCATTATGACGTGTCAGTGAAACCCCTCCATACATTATGACGTTTCAGTGAACCCCTCCATACATTATGACGTTTCAGTGAACCCCTCCATACATTATGACGTTTCAGTGAACCCCTCCATGCATTATGACGTGTCAGTGAAACCCCTCCATACATTATGACGTTTCAGTGAACCCCTCCATACATTATGACGTTTCAGTGAACCCCTCCATACATTATGACGTTTCAGTGAACCCCTCCATACATTATGACGTTTCAGTGAACCCCTCCATACATTATGTGTCAGTGAACCCCTCCATACATTATGACGTGTCAGTAAACCCCTCCATGCATTATGACGTGTCAGTGAACCCCTCCATGCATTATGACGTGTCAGTGAACCCTTCCATGCATTATGACGTGTCAGTGAACCCCTCCATGCATTATGACGTGTCAGTGAACCCCTCCATGCATTATGACGTGTCAGTGAACCCCTCCATACATTATGACGTGTCAGTGAACCCCTCCATGCATTATGACGTGTCAGTGAACCCCTCCATACATTATGACGTGTCAGTGAACCCCTCCATACATTATGACGTTTCAGTGGGCCCCTCCATACATTATGACGTGTCAGTGAACCCCTCCATACATTATGACGTGTCAGTGAACCCCTCCATACATTATGACGTGTCAGTGAACCCCTCCATGCATTATGACGTATCAGTGAACCCCTCAATACATTATGACGTGTCAGTGAACCCCTCCATACATTATGACGTGTCAGTGAACCCCTCCATGCATTATGACGTTTCAGTGGACCCCTCCATACATTATGACGTGTCAGTGGGCCCCTCCATGCAATATGACATGTCAGTGGACACCTCAATGTAATATGACATGTCAGTGGGACCCTCCATGCAATATGACATGTCAGTGGACACCTTAATGCAATATGACATGTCAGTGGACCCTCCATGCAATATGACATGTCATTGGGTTCCTCAACGCAATGACATGTCATTGGTTCCCTCCATTCAATACAACATGTCAGTTGTTCCCTCCATGCAATATGACATGTCAGTGGACCCCTCAATGCAATATGACATGTCAGCGGACAATCCGTGCAATATGACATGTCATTTGGTTTCTCAACGCAATGACATGTCATTGGTCCTCTCCATTCAATACAACATGTCATTGGTCCCCTCCATTCAATACATGTCAGTGGTCCCCTCCATACATTATGACGTGTCAGTGGTCCCCTCCATGCATTATGACGTTTCAGTGGACCCCTCCATACATTATGACGTGTCAGTGAACCCCTCCATGCAATATGACATGTCAGTGGGCCCCTCCATGCAATATGACATGTCAGTGAACCCCTCCATACATTATGACATGTCAGTGAACCCCTCCATACATTATGACGTGTCAGTGAACCCCTCCATACATTATGACGTGTCAGTGAACCCCTCCATGCAATATGACATGTCAGTTGTTCCCTCCATGCAATATGACATGTCAGTGGACCCCTCAATGCAATATGACATGTCAGTGGACCCTCCATGCAATATGACATGTCATTGGGTTCCTCAACGCAATGACATGTCATTGGTCGCCTCCATTCAATACATGTCAGTGGTCCCTCCATGCAATATGACATGTCAT